TTGTATTTTTAGTAGAGACAGGGTGTCACCATGTTGGTCATGCTGGTCTTTAACTCTTGACCTCAGGTGATCCACCCACCTTGTCCTCCCAAAGTACTAAGATTACAGGTATGAGCCACCAAGGCCAGCCATATCCTTATTTTTGATCCCCTTAAGAAGAATTGTCAGATTAAGGAGTATGCACACTTTCAAAGATCTGGTATATAATTAGACTGAGATACTTTAACACAAACTTGTTAAAAAAAAAAAAAAAAAGATTTGGTACATATTGTTAAATTGCCTTCCAGGAAGGAGGTATCACTTAGGCTCTGGTCACCAATCCTATGAGATGCCTCCTTCACTACATCCTTCCCAACACTGGGGATTAGCATTTTGAAAGTTTTGCAAATCTGTTAAGCAAAAACAGATAGTATTTCATTGTTGCTTTAGTTTGCTTTCCTTTTTCTTTTTATTACTTGGATTTTTTTACAGGCCAGCCATTGGTAATTCTTTCTGATGAATTATCTGCTTATGTGCTTTATCTAGTTTTCTTTTCTTTTTTTTTTTTTTTTTGAGATAGAGTTTTGCTCTTTTTGCCCAGGCTGGAGTGCAACGGCGGGATCTCAGCTCACTGCAACCTCTGCCTCCCAGGTTCAAGCAATTCTCCTGCATCAGCCTCCAGAGTAGCTGGATTACAAGCACTACCACAGCAGCTATTTTTGTATTTTTAGTAGAGATAGGGTTTTTCCAGTCGGTCAGGCTGGTCTTGAACTCCCAACCTCAGATGATTTGCCTGCTTTGGCTTCCCAAAGTGCGGGATTACAAGCATGAGCCATTGCATCTGGCCACACACATTTTTTTTTTTGAAACAGAGTTTTGCTCTTGTTGCCCAGGCTGGAGTGCGATGGCGGGATCTCAGCTCACTGCAACCTCCGCCTCCTGGGTTCAAGCGAATCTCCTGCCTCAGCCTCCTGAGTAGCTGGGATTACAGGCATGTGCCATACACCCGGCTAATTTTGCAGTTTTAGTGGAGACAGGGTTTCTCTATGTTGGTCAGGCTGGTCTTGAACTCTCGACCTCAGGTGATCCACCACCTCAGCCTCCCAAAGTGCTGGGATTACAGTCATGAGCCACCATGCCCAGACTTAGTTTTGTTTGTTTTCTTTTTTGTTTTTTGAGGCAGGGTCTTGCTCTGTTGGCCAGGCTAGAGTGCAGTGGTGGCGTGATCACAGCTCACTGCAGCCTTAACCTGCTGGGCTCTGGTGATCCCCCACCTCAGCCTTCCGAGTAACTGGGACTGTAGGTGCATGCCACCACACCCAGCTAGTTTTTGTATTTTCAGTAGAGACGGGTTTTCACCAGGTTGCCCAGGCTGGTCTCAAGTTCCTGAGCCCAAGAAATCCACCCACCTCGGCCCTCCAAGGTGTTGGGATTATAGGCATGAGCTACTGTACCCAGTCAGTTTTCTCTTTTTTATTGATATATTTCTCCATTTATACCACTTCATTTGTGCAATTTATTATTATTATTTAGCGAGGTATATGTATTTTGTCTTATAGATGTATTCAAGCTACTACTACTTGTCTGTCATATATTACATATATGTGTATGTATGGCTTTTTTTTTTCCTTTTGGAGATGAAGATTTTGCTATGTTGCCGAGGCTGATCTTAAACCCCTTGCCTCAAGTTATGCTCCTGCCATAGCCTCCCCAGCTGCTGGGATTACAGGTGTGAGCCACCTTACCCATTTCTCATATATTACAAATACTTTATCCTAGATTGTCATTTGCATTTAGTCTTGTTCATTTTAAAAGCATTCATTAATCTAAAATGTCCATGTAATCAAGGTGGCCTATATAGACTTTCCAAACCATGGGGCTGGAGGGGGCCATGACTGGAAGCAGGGAGGCCAGCAGAGAGGTGGCCCCCGCCAGAGTGCAGGTGTGGCAGGATGAGGCCGAAGGTGGGGCAGGGCTAGAGAGGAGGCGAGATCAACTGGAGGCAGACAAGAGAGGTGACCAAGATGTGGTGACCTTGGGTGGGGGAGGGAGGAAGGAGGAGAAACCCAGGTGACTCACAGGTGCTGACCTGGAGGAGGGCAGGGTGTGAGTAGGTGGAGGAAGAGCCAGGATTGGGAGTACAGGAAGGGGTGTGGTGGGGGTGGGGTGCCGAGATCTTGACAATTCCCTTTGGGATTGCTGCGTGGAGGCTCCCGGCCATATAAGTCACTGGCATTTGGATCACTAGGACTGGGCTAGTTTCTGTTTTTTTTTTTTTTTGAGACGGAATCTTGCTCTGCCACCCACGCTGGAGTGCAGTGGTGCGATTTCAGCTTACTGAAACCTCTGCCTCATGAGTTCAAGCAATTCTCCTGCCTTAGCCTCCCGAATAGCTGAGATTATAGGCATGCACCACCATACTGGCTCATTTTTGTATTTTTTAGTAGAGATGGCATTTCATCATGTTGACCAGGCTTGTCTCAAACTCCTGATCTCCTCGGCCTCCCAAACCGCTGGGGTTATAGGCATGGTTTCTGTCTTTTTGTCACTTTCAGAAAGACTTCTTCTTCTACAGAATTTATATTAATATAGTCACACAAACTATCTCAAGTGTTGTTTTTTTTTTTTTTTTTAATTTAAATCTTAATTTAGCTGGGCACAGTGGTGTGCACCTGGAGTCCCAGCCACCTGGGAGGTTGAGGCAGGAGGAACGCTTGAGCCTAGGAGCTGAAGGCTGTAACATGCAGTGATTGCAACTTCTGACAAGCCACTGCACTCCAGCCTGAGCTACATAGTGAAACCCTGTTTCCAAAAAATAAAATAAAATAAAATAAAATAAATCTTAATCCAGATGGAATCTGTAGTATTTTTGTGAATTGTGAAAGTTAAGGAGTTAACTTACCATCATTGACATCCACCTGGGGCAGCCCCCAGCCCCAGGCACAAAGACAGTCCTGTGGGCCCTCAGAGCCCCTGTGTCACTGCTGCTGTTGCTGCTACAGCTCTGGGCCTGTGCGACTGACAGGAAGCCCACTGTGTTGGGGTTTCCTGTCAGTGGTGCCTGGGGCCCTGCCTCCAGCCAGTGCCCTCTTTCAAGCATTTCCTGTGGGTTAGCTCTGGGGGTCTTTTCCTAGCCTCTTCTTAACCTGTGTTACTGCCAGAAAGAATTCTTCGTAGTTTTTGGCCTTTCCCCTTTCCCCAGTTTCTTTTTTCTTTCTTTCTTTCTTTTTTTTTTGAAACAGATTTTTATTCTGTTGCCCAGGCTGGAGAGCAATGGAAGATCTTGGCTCACCGCAACCTCCGCCTCCTGGGTTCAAGCAATTTTCCTGCCTCAGCCTCCCGAGTAGCTGGGATTACAGATGCCCACCACCACACCTGGCTAATTTTGTATTTTTAATGGAGACACAGTTTCTTAACGTTGGTCAGGCTGGTCTTGAACTCCCAACCTCAGCTGATCCACCTGCCTCGGCCTCTCAAAGTGCTGGGATTACAGGTGTGAGCCACCGTGCCTGGCCGCCTTTCCCCAGTTTCTTTAGTGGATGTATATTTTTCCCTGTTTCAGATTTGCTAGGTTCTTTTTTTTTTTTTTAAGTGACTTTTTAAAGGCTCTTTTCTTATTGGGCAATAACAAACATAAAGTCACAAATACTAAGCATACATCTCAGTGAATTTTTATGTAGGTATTTATTATGTCCCCACTACCCTGATAAGAGACTTCTTTTAGCGTTAAGAAGCTATTGGTGGGAGGTTGGGTGGAGAGGGAAATCATAAATGTGTCCTCACAGTGCTATTTTTTTTTCTAGAATGATCAGGAAATGGTGTGAGGAGGGGGGCCACATGTAACATTCAGCTTTATAAAGTGGTATGGGGTGCACGACGGTGAGGAGTCATGTGGGTCATGAGCTGGTTCTGCCCCTCACTAGCCATGAGACTTTCTATGCCTCAGTTTCAACAACTGTAAAATGGGTGTAGAAGACAGCTCCTGCCTCATAGGGTTGTCATGAAGATTACATGAGGCAGCGCACGTAAGCCCACAAAAAAATGTCAATTGTTGTTTCTGTTGTTATTAATAACGATGAGCTTAGCTAGGAGTATGTGTCAGAATCACCTGGGGCACTTTTGCAAAATACACATGCCTGACCTGGCCAGATCAACTGAGTCAGTATCTGGATTTTAAACGCCTCCCCAGGTTATTCTGTTGCTCATCTGTGGTTCAGTGCCACCTGGCTGGAGGTAGCCATGACTGGAAGCAGGGAAGTCAGCGGGCAGCCTCTGCAAGAGAGCAGGTGTGGCAGGAGGAGGCTGCAGGTGGGGCAGGACTGGTGAGGAGGCAAGTGAGGCCGACTTGAGGCAGATGGGAGAGGTGGCCAAGACATGGTGACTTTGCACAGGGGTGGGAGAAAGGAGGAGGAGCCCGGGGTGACTCACAGGTGCTGACTTGGACGAGGGTGGTGGAGGATGAACCAGGGTAGGGACTACAGGAAGAGGAGTGTTGGGGGAAGGGCACAGAGATAGTGACAATTCCCTTTGGGCTCCTGGTGAGGATAAGTTAGTACTTAGATCTCTAGGTCAGTACTATGGTTTTGGGAGGTGTTGGTGTGGAGGAGATGGATAAAGCCATGGGCCTGGTCTTTGAGTAAATGTAGAGGTCAGAGGAGGGCCAAGTTCACAAGCATCCTCCTCTGCAAAGGCCTGCGCCCACTTTTTTTTTTTTTTTTTTTTTTTTTGAAACTGGGTCTTGCTCTGTCACCCAGGCTAGAGTGCAGTGGTGCGATCACAGCTCACGTAGTTTCCAACTTCTGGGCTTAAGCGATCCTCCTGCCTTAACTTCCCCAAGTGCTGGAACCATAGGCGTGAGCCCCACACCCAGCCTCTTTGTCCACTTCTTATTCTGCTTTCCCTAGAAATACAGAAGAGCTTGTTTCTTAATGTAATAACCCCCTGCTGAGGACTGTTGGACAATAAACTGTCCCCTCATCTGAAGATGAAGAATAACTTTGGATCATTTTCTTTCCTCACAGGTCACAAAGTTTTCCATACTCCTTGATGGAGGTGCTTAAACCTTATCCATCAGCATTCTCAGACAGCACCTCTGGTTAGGGACAGTGTCGGACCATCCGACATCCCTGCACCCCCCATGCTGTCACACAGACTCAGCCTCAGGTGGATGGTTTCCTTAGATGCTGGCTTTCTTTGGACCCTTGATATCAACCAGTTACTCTTTGGTAAGAACTTAAGTCATTCCAGTGCCTCTCTGAGGCATTTGCATTTAAAATTTCAGATGTCATAGAAATAATGAACGACATTGCATTCCTGAGGGAATGAATACATTTTTCACTTCCCTGTTCTAGAACATCTTTGTCCACTATAGAATTTTCCATGATGACAGTAATGTTCTCTGTGCTGTTCTATGCAGTAGCTACTGGCCACATGTGGCTATTGAACATTTGAGATGTGGCCAGTGTGACTGAGGAACTGGTTTTTTTCATTTTAATGAATTAAAATAGAAAATTGTTTTTTGAGACAAGGTCTTATTCTGTCATTCATGCTGGAGTGCAGTAGTGTGATCATGGCTCATTGCGGCTTTGACCTCCTGGGCTCACGTAATCCTCCCACCTCAGCCTCCCGAGTAGCTGGGACCATAGGTACGTGCCACCACACTGGCTAATTTTTTTTTTTTTTTAAGAGAAGGGGGTTTCCCTATATTGCCCAGGCTGGTCTCAAACTCCTGGGCTCAAGTGATCCTCCCTTGGTGTCCCAAAGTGCTGAGATTACAGGGGTGAACCTCCATACCCCACCTTAAATTGTAATTTAAACTGAAAAAAGGAAAGCAGGCGCTATGGAGTTGTCACCTCTGGGTTGGTGAGAGCTAGGGACATTAGGCCTGGCACTCCACCTGACTGCTCCACTACCAAGTGCTCCCCAAAGGGATTTGGAAAAACGGAGGAGGAGGGCTTGGCTCTTAAACTAGGATGATTCCACACTATCTGGGAAAGTGAGCATCAAGTAGAAGATGACTTGGCTGTTTCCAGGTTGAAACCAAATGGGCTTTCTTTATCCCTCTCCACCCTGGCTTCAGCCCACATTCTGCTGCATGAGAAGGCGGTGTCCAGCACCGCCCCTCCCAGGCCTCTCCAGGCTTCCTTCTTCCCACTCTTCCCACCCTGGGAGCATTGCCCCTGACCTCCCTTCTGCCCTGCATCCCATTCCCTTCTCCTGCCACCGCAAGCCCCACCTCCTCCAAGACACTTCCCAGACGCCTCTGTCCCTTTCAGGTGAGGCTAGTTTTAGGGCCCGGAACTAAAACTTATTAGGGCCAAATTCCATTTGGCTTTCCAGCTGGGGGTGAGGTGGCAGGGATGGGTCTCAGAAAGATCAACTGCAGGACAGGTGTGCGTGCGACCACTGTATTTCCTTCTCTCACCGCCACTCATGGTGAGAAAGGTATCTCTTGCCCCAGCCAGGACACACTTCAATGTATGGATACATAGCACTGAAGCGAGAGTTCTGTCAAAATAATATTAACTCCAACTACATGTGATGCACTTGGGTATTTTCTGTACTGTTCTGATTATTTTTTAAAGAGAAAGACTGGTTGTGACCCACTAAATTGATTTCACGACCCAGTAGCGGGTCACGACCCACTGGTTGAGCAGCACAGAGTGAGATCCTGGCTGTGTCTTGGCCCAGCCGTGACAGCCAGCCCTGCCCAACTCAGAGCAGCCCAAACAGCCCGGGCTGCCTGACACCGCACTGCCCACACGCTGCACCCTGGATTCCTTGACCAGCTTCCATATGATAGGCTTATCCAGGTTGTCTCCCTGGGGGGCTCTGCTCTTTCCACTGACTCTCACTGCTCCGTTGGTCATGCTGTAAAATGACCACAGCCACAGATGCTGTCTCAGGAGATTGAGGTCTAGAGAACACACTAGACACCTAAGAGAAGGATGCCAGGTCAGGGTCAGGACACAGGCTGCACGTCTCACTCCTCTTGATCTCATCCCTCTAAATGAGACCTCTCAGGTCTAGGGGCCTTACCAGCTCTGCTCACCTGGCAGGGCCATGCATAGCGAATAGAAGCCGAGCAAGCCCTGGAGCTCCTGACGACAGAAACGTCTTGCCAGTGAGAGGACCACAAGAAATAGATTCAAGGAGCATTCCACGTGCAAGTGAGTCTTGGCCCCATCTGCCTTTGGATTTTGGCCGTGAACTGGAAGGTACTGGAAACAAGACTCATAAATAGCTAAATCAAAATCCCCGCATTTGAACCAAGTGCTTTATTTCTCTGTGGGCCTCAAGCTTTGCTGACATTTGTGGAGCACACTGTCCTAACAGGAGCGTCTGTCTGATTTCCCAACGCTCTGCAAAGGAAAAGAAATAGCCTGGAAGCGTGGCTGGCGGAAGGTAGTTTTTAGAGAGAGACTTGTAGGTAACAGGAAAGTGAAGGCTATAAGGAACGCTGTAATTAAACAGCACATGGAAACACAGTCACATTATTTTCCCATTCCATGGGATAATGATGACCACCTCAGTGGAAAAAGAAGAGATTTTAAGGCATTAGGGACTATGGGCCACCTTTTAGCAAGATTCCTCTTCAAAGTGGTTATAACAGTGTTTTGGCAATTTTCATTTTCATTTTCAGAAAAAGTAATTCATGGGAACCTCAGTGACTTTGGATGAATAAGATGCCGTTGAACGGCTCTGACGCGGGCTGGCCATGCTTCTCTAGGGACCTTGGAGACTGAGGCCACTGTGATCTCAGGTTCAGGGGGCAAGTCCTCTCCGCACAGCCCTAGCTGGCCTCACAGCTGAACATGTCGCCCTTACTGTTGGACTCCTTTGTTAACCCACGTGAGTTTGTGAATAAATCCTTTCCAGTCTGAAAGCTTGCTGACACTTGGAGACAGGTGTGGAGAGAGGACTCTGAGCTGAACACTCCCTGGGGACGGCAGGCCTGGTGAGGTGGCCTAAATCGCCAGAGGACAGGGCACAGCTCAGATTTGGGCTAGGGGTGCAGTTTGGGGAGCAGTAGTGGGCGGGTAGGTGGGTGTGGGCTTGAGGACAAATTCTGCCCTCTTCACTGCGTGGCCTGAGCCAGGACAGCCCACTTGCTGAGGCAGGGCCGGGCCTCTGTTTCTTTATTAGCCTGACTCCTCCCTGCTCCCTGGTCCCCAGATCTGCTTCTGTGAATCACCCTGGGTGGCTGCAGGGGTGCTTCAATCAGTGAGGGGATCTCAAAGAAAAGCCAGGTATTTCTTAGACAAAGATTCTTAGACAAAGATGACTTATTCCTCACCATCTGAGAAAGCAAGGGTCTAGTAGGAGGCAGCGGGGCCTGGGACTCTGTCATTTCACCAGGAGGTCTCCGTCTTGACAATTGCTTACTACATTGTGCACGTGTAACGCACTGCACATCCTATTGTTGACATTTGCAAATGGAATTTAATTACAAAATGATGAAACCATTTCTCCCAAAGTGGGTGGGATAACTCGGAATCACAATAACAACCTAAAATAACAATATCAAAGCTCTAGGAAAAGATTTTAGACAAGCCACTCTGTGACATGAACCAAGGCCAGAATGGAGTGGGGCTTGATCACGGTGGATGGTCTCAACAAGTTGCCTAAAGAAATTCTTATTTCAGTGGGATTAGAATAATGTGAGGGGTAAAGGAAGACCTGCCGGGGTAAGCATTCCACCTAGTGGAAATTAGAGTCTGATGATGAAATCACAAATGATTTTAACAGGGAGGAAGGGGGCGGGCAGCAGCCAAGGAGGACAGATGAGTAGGTTTTCAGTGAACCTGCCGGGTTTTCACACTGCCTAATGCCTTGGCTGTGATACACCATGAGTACGTCAGAATGCCCAGAAGCACCAAAGTCTAGAATTAGCAGCTACTGTAAAGGAGTCTTGGTCAGCACCAAAGTTGTTTGTTCGCTTCCTTATTGATCTGTTTGGAGCAAGAGGGTGGACAAGGTAGCAATCCCCTCGGCTAGGGGAAGACACAGAGTGGAATGATGAAAAAGTGCCCAATTCCCATTTTGTTTCCAACTCTACCTCCCTTGAGAATAGTCCTCAAACTGGAAGGAAAAAATAAAGTGGAACAAAGATCATTGAGAGTAAAACGAAGCCCCCAACAATAGAGGAAATGTAAAATAGAGCTCCCTCAACTCCGTCCTAGAAAATAATCCACTTGTCACAATCCCCACAGGTGGTCACGTTCCCCACAGCTGGCCATCCAGGTTGGCCAGAGCCCCCAAAGCAGCGCTTCTTGGGAAAGGTGGCCTGACCAGAGACAAATCCATTTGTTATTAGCCCTAGATTTCAACACAGAGAAGAGAAACTGAAGCCTACCTTGTTCAGCAACGTATCTGGTTTTTTGTTGTTGTTGCTGTTGTTGTTTTTGAGACAGAGTCTCACTCCGTCGCCAGGCTGGAGTGCAGTGGCGCGATCTCGACTCACTGCAACCTCCACCTCCTGGGTTCAATCAATTCTCCTGTCTCAGCCTCCTGAGTAGCTGGAACTACAGGTTCGTGCCACCACCCCCAACTAATTTATGTATTTTTAGTAGAGACAGAGTCTTACCATGTTGGCCAGGACAGTCTCGATCTCTTAACCTCGTGATCCGCCCGCCTCGGCCTCCCAGAGTGCTGGGATTACAGGCGTGAGCCACCGCGCCGGGCCTGTTTTTTACATAAAGTACCTGAAAAGAGGATTCTCTGGGCTGCAGGTGACCCAGACCCTAAAGGGACAATAAATGACTTTGAGGTAACAAAGTCATGACTCAAAATAGTCATGTCAGGGTAGAAAAAAGAAGACATTTTTACAAGGGAAAATGTAACATTTTATATTTGGGTTTACTAAAATGATTCATTCAAATACATAGTGGAGGAGTCTGGGGACCCAAGGGGACTGGTTTCCCATGGGCTCCTTGTGGACCAAGAGTGTGAGGTTTGGGAGAGCCCCCCCATACACGGGAGGCAAGGACCTAGCACAGGGAGCGGCCGCAGCCCTTCTCCATTCCCACTCCTCGGGCCACGTGCCCTTGTGTGGGGTGCAGCTCCTGGATCCCAACCAAGTAGGAACCGCCCAGGCAGGTCTCCAGCACAGAGGGGGCCTGAAGGCAGAGCAGCGGTGATGAGACGGGGGCTGTCAGCCAGAGGAGGGGTGAATTTAGGTAGCTGAAGAGCCACCAAGGGTGAGAGTGGGACCATTCTTTATGTC